ACACACACACAGCCGATTATATAAAAAGGATTGCTGACCGAAGTGTTCAGCTCTCGTTATTCTCTATATTGTCCAAGGCAGCCCTCATTCAAGTGGTTTTTGATTGATTCATAAGCTGATAACACACTATGCTTTTAGTACCGCATTTGCTCTGTCACTTTTGGGAAAAATGAGGGAGGTGTGAGCGAGTGTATGTGGAATGGATGGGAGAGAGTACATTTTCCACTCTGAGCCAGGGAAATTCGCCATTTTTTTTCCAAAATTTGCCATCTTTTCCGTTAGTAAAGTTCGAAGCCGCTCTTGAAAAAATTAGAAAATGAGTTTACCTCTAGAACTCAGCGATTTTCAAGCTATTCTGTTTGCTTATTGCTAATCATATTCGAAGGACATGCCTTTTAAATGTGGCCGAGGTACTAAGTGAATGGTATAGAGATGACAATATTCTTCAAATTGTTACTAACTTATGTTCCCTTTGGGAAGTTCCTTTTTCGCTTTCCAAGAGTGTAACATCTCAACAATTCCTGTTGGAAATAATGAATCAATTCCGGGCCAAAATCTGTCATCCAGGGTGGATAGTGGGAGCAACAGCTGTTCTTTGTTCTCCTACCGGGTCGCTCCTGATGGTTTCCCTGCAACAAGGCTGACCTTGGGCGACTGTCACTGAGGACTCCTTTTTCCACAAGTTCTTTCGAGTTTGTCATGGAAACAGAACTCACCATGTGGCATCCCTACTATGTGCGTGTTTCGAAAAAACAGATTCCCGTTTGGTTCATAAGTCTTCCCTCTTGTAGAATCAGCTGGTCGAGGGTGGAATGGAGGGGGAACCACTAGATGACCACCACCATGCCTAAACATGCTAGTGTGAATAGTATTCGATGGCAGTTTGATTCCAAATGGAAGAAGGGTTGTGGATCGCTTCGAACTTGGTGCTTATTATCACCGATTATTTTCTATTAAGATTTACCACTTATTATTGCAATTTATAACTCCATGGTAAAGTCGTTCCTGCATTGAACAACTCGGAACGCTTTGGTAATAAGCATTGACCAACTCGGAAGGCTCTGGTAACCACTTAGTCTGGGCTCTCCAGCATTGAAGAAAGAATGAGATTGGGGACGAATATTGGATCGATTTGTCATCTTAAAGATATCGAAAAGCATGGTCCTACTGCCACTTCGAAGGGCATTATTTCTGACGTAATGTGGATTGGCGATGACTATGGGAGAAGGACCGCCGGTCAGAGACAGACATTACTATTTTATGAGGTGTTAGGTATGTAGGTAGATGACACGGATAGGCTTAGGTGCTGCCGTTCACTTGTTTTTAGCCGAGGGCAATCGCTCAGCTGTCCTCTTCGCCAGCAACACTTGGGCGGCTTACACTGTGACTTCAGTCAGTCAGTCGTAGCCACAGAGACGTTGCTCGGTCACATCGATTAGCCGCAGATCTTATCACTTCTGGTCACTTTCATTGTCCCGCTCTTTTCATTGCTACCGTAACAAGGTCGTTGGCCTTGTTTCTCAATATTTGTCGTGTCCCTTTCTTACCGTATTCCCGCACCCTCTATGAGTCTTGCCCTGAATTATGGTAGTTTTCAGGCAGCGATTGGCGATTTTTGGCTAGTCTCGGCTGTTTACTCTTCAGCCAGTGATTTACGATATCGCTAAACGGGGTCTCGGTAATGTACGGGATAAGAGCACAGTGCCCGGATAGCACAAGTACGAATTCTAGTCCCGTCCGAGATCAAGGATTTGTCCATAACTCGCCAACCTTGCGAGCAATTTTCGTATCACCCTAACCTTGAGGAAGATGCTCAAGCAGATGTGTAGCGCAACCTGTGGCTGAAGGGGGAAGACCACATCTCGTTATACCACTTGGGATTGGGCTCATATTCAAGGGAGGGTTGTGGGAAATTGTACCGGATGAAAGAAGTGAAAGCTTCCCAGAATTTCAGTGTCCTTTGTTCCATTTCTGTTCCTCTTTCCTAATTTCACTCTGAAAGTTGGCAAAACAGGAAGTCGTGCTGCAATGTGTTGTGCTTCGAAGTATCCCCACATGGGCTGCTGATTTACAAAATGATAACCTGGCTCCTGATCCACCTGCACCTAAGAGGAAAGGTGCACCATGTGATGCCAGCACAATCTTCTTCTCTATGAAAAAGTATTTATGAACTCCACAGTTCATGGTGTTTACAGCCGCCATAGAGCTCTAAAAAACGATTGGCGATTATATGAGCATGAGAAGAGTGTGTGACAGCATGAAGCTATGAGAGAGCCCATTTCACCACCTGAATTCCATGAGTTCGAGGAACCTTCTGGGTAGACGGGATCGTTTCCTACTTCCTGATCTTTAGTCGTTGTCTTCATCTTCCCCATTTATTTTTGATCCGTCGGATCCCAAGCCTTTTTCATTTCAAAATTTAGTTAATATCATTGATAATCAACTGTTATTCTTATTATGTCTTTATTTCTTTCTGATTCTTTGGAAAATTAGTGCATGCTTGAGACATGTGTTCATATCGCCTTGGACAGTGATCATATAAGTATCCTCTTTGTTCAGCTCAGCGAGTAAGAAGCTTTTAGTCACAGTTTGCACCCACTTATGACCACTCGGGCTCGATCCAACCTTCTATCAATATGGGACATGCTACTTCATGTTCGAATTCGCATAATTTGATGGTTCTAAAGATTTTAGATGGGTATCGGATATGTGGCGCCTTCCTTAAGGGAACGGTTTATGCCGCCTTTCAATCCTTTACTTAAAAGGCTCTTCCTAGCCGTGAGGGCGTGGTTCTAATGTGTTCTGTGGATTTCGTTACAGTACAACTTGTTTTACTGTTTCATGCACATGGCGATTGTTGAGGATTCTTTTACAAATACCGTACATATTCGAGTTACAGGCATAGGATGAGCTAATGAGAAGAGGGGCAAGTCCACAATGAAACTGATGCTGTTTATTCTTCTTCTTCTGCAACTGACGACGACCGTGGTCGCCCTTCGGCATTCATTATGTTCCACACCGACATTGACCGTTCGCGGAGTGGACATCGTAGCTGCTTCGAAGAACACCGTTCTGGTCGTCGGATTCATGCCACTTCAATGCGCTTCGTGTCATCGGCAACTCAAAAGGTTGGTGTTATGATCCTGATGCTTGGAGTAGCATTTTTATTAATTTTTATTATAACGATAGATATGTATATCGAGCGGAGTTCGTACCTCTTTTATTCTCAAAGTCTTAGAGTAGTCCTCAAATCGAGTTCGGCCTAGTCCTGTAGGGCTTCCACCTAACTGGGATGGGAATCGCCCGGGATTAACTGCGCAGGTTATGGTGTAGACCAGCGAATACGTCCAAGCAGATGGGGTCGCAAATGAGTGTCGAATGCCTGGCGCATCGCTAAACATTATTGGTAACGCGACAACTTACCATTCAAAAGTTATGGTTGTTTGCGCCATATTCAGGTTGGTTCTGTCCTCTGGATTCTGCCCTCCCATCCCTTCAAGACAGCCTCGGCATCGATTCATCGGATTAAGGCCGAGAAATATATTGATTGAACGATATCACCCTTTATCTATCCTTGAAGTTCCTGAGGAGATTTCTAACATGTTTGTAGTTACCGTACCCTTCCCAACATGGTAAAATAATGCAGAACCCCTATGAGAACTCCCACAGCTTTCGAGTACCTTTTAAGCGAACTTGATTCATGTTTACCAGAGCGTGCGAACCGTGTCGGATTACTGATCTGAAGTGTTGATGCGGATTAGCCCATTCATACGCCCAAGTTCGTCTTGCTCGAGCGGCTTCCCAAACGTCACGAAACTGAAATCGAATACTGTCTACGAATCTTTTGAAGTGTTTTTCAATCAAACCCTGTTGGAACTACTTCGTCAGACATTCGGGTAGCTCGAATTTCTTTCTCTTCCTCGACAGCTGACATGGGCCACATACCTGAGCCGGCCAATTGATCCTGGGTTCAGGTGTACTGACCATAAGGTAGTTTTTTAATTCGTTGACAACCGCAGTTCTTTCAGATAGCTCGGATTTCCAAACGATCGTGTGGAAAAAACATCTTGAGAGTATTTTTAGGCCACATTGACATCACTAATACCGTACCCATCCATTCAAATAACTCGAGTACTCAATAAGTACCCCAGCCAAATGTAATAAGTACTCAATACCGTATTTAGGTTGTCGTATATGGCAACGAATCAGAACGATGTCCGTGTGGTCGTATTAGCCCCATCGTACGAGGCACCGGTGACTATCTCACGGGTTCAAGCCGAGGTACACTTTACATTTTTTTTACTCTTATTTCATGCAGACTTTTCTTTTTCTGGTGATAGGAACAATCAGTAAACAAATGAATAAAACAGTAAACAAACACAGAACAGGTATTTGGAACAAGTAGCAAGGAACGGTATCAACAGTATTATTCAATAGATTAGCTCGAACGGAAGCTTAACATCGTCAATAGCTATTAATTTATTTTGTTTTTGTTGTTTGTCTTGTATTCTTTGTTTTTATTTATTTACTTACAATTTTTCATTAACACATAAAAAAGAAAAAGTATATTGATCGAATTTAGTTCCCTCGTCTTGTTATCGATCGTGACACTCACAATGTATGGAGACTGTATGAGGCGGCCAACCATGATCAGATGTTTTTTGACAAGTACCTTTTACCTAATCAGAATATCCCATAAATCAGTAAATAACTCAAGATATCTTCCAGATGTGGCCGTGTAACCCAGGTTATTCAACACCCACGAAGCGATATGACCAACTATCGGGACACTTTGTATGCTGTTGACAGCGCTCGAACTCAAAGGACGTGTGGTCCATGCAGTAACGGCGGCTCCCGTGAGCCCTTGGTGAGGGTTCTATTCTTGAATTCACTGATTAGGATTACTATATGTGAGCTGTAGATAGAACAGGTCCTGTTCATTAGAATAGACGTGTGAAGAGGGTTCGGTTAATCATCGATTGTCAAGACAGTTTTGGCTTGTAATTTCGGTTAGCTGTAGAAATACTACCTACTAATAGCATTGTGATTTATTGTGGTCTCCCTTGCAGACTTCACATAAAACAATCACGGTGAAGTCTGCCAATGTTCAGCAACAGCATGCCAGCTCAGGACGTTACGAAGAGCATCAACGAGCCCGTCCATCCTTCACCATCCGAGCTAACTACAATACGAGGGCTCCGCCCATAACCAACAATGGGCGATCGACATACACCCAACCGCCTCAAGTGAATAATCAAAACTACGGTGGTGCTCAGTACTATCAAACGTCTACCTCAACGAGCACAGCGTATCCACAATGGAATCGACAGGTACTAATCAACAATCAACAACAACAACAACAGCAACAACAACAACAACGAACTTCTTACGGAGCATATAACCCAAATGTGAGTGTTTTTTTTTTGCTTTGACTTTAAGTTTCCCAGTCACAAGCATAAGGGCGGACCCGAGTTTGTTAATTCACTAGTCATTTCCTTATAGTGTAGGTAGAATGGGTAAGTGAGAACACTCTCTTAAACCTCCCGAGCAGTCCAGAATACAGAACAGCTTGGAATAGCTCGAAAAAAACCTTTTCAAATTATCCTTCTAGGTTTTTTGTTACAAGCTATGATAATGCGTACCAGGATTCAGCTAAAGGTTGTGAAAGCATTCTCCCTGACACTATTATTTGTGCATAACGTGAGCCAGTGAACTGGGAGTTGGAGAGTTCCACATCAGTTGATTACTCATGCCTCCCGGACACTATTGCTTGTGTCTGTTGGGTGTAACCACTTTACTCACATTCTTTCAGTGTTAAAATATCAGGTTGATGCATAATTATTGCGGATTTTTTGTAACGAATTTTATTTGAAGAAACGATGAAAATACTGAACAAAAACATGTTCAAATAATTACTGTGGAACTTACCCACCATCTACGTCAAGCACTGCTTTCCATTGGTTAGATATTCGGATTCCAAAAGCGAAGAAGTTTTGGTCCTTGGGAGTGATCCACGCCTTGACATCGGCCATCAAGTCATCAAAATCGACGTAAGTTCTATTCCCTGGCCACTTTTCAGCGAACGGTAGACGAGATAATCCATAGAAACTTCTGCTGGTGAATATGGCAGATTTAGGAGCAGCTGAATGGCTTTGGCTGATTGTTCCATCGCCGAAAATTTACTGAGATCGCGGGATGTCCCTTTCACCTTCCATCCTTTCTCGAAGTGGTAGAGCAAAATTTTGCGAATCTGCGGATGGTTTTTAAACACATTTTTGTAGAGAGAATCATGGAGACCATTTCTATAGTAAACCCGAACTCAATGTTTAAATCATTTTGAGAGAAAAGAAGCCCAGAAAAATTCCGCTATAGTTATGCATCAACCTAATACTTGTAAGGAAAGTCTTTGTCGTATAAACAACTCATTCTCAAAAAATCATAACTCGGCTCAAAGTTAACAGTTTTAATCAGTATAGGCTTGCTGTTATGAGACCGTAACGTCCTTATTCCTATCCCATACTTATTAAAGGCTGGCGGTCAGAATCTCAAGAATTCGAGAAAGGCAGTTTTCACGTCGTCCTGGTTTTTGGAAGCACTCTTCTCTAAGAAGCTATCCGTGTTTGAAAAAAGGGAAGTAGTTGGTGCAAGGTCCGTGAGTACGGTGGTCTAGAAAAAGCTTCTACTACAAGTCGTTCAACTTTTGAGTAATGGTCTGTGTTATGAGCGGTGCAGCATGACCTGTGGTGCAGGAAGAAGAGAACCATGCGATTCTGAAATTGGAAAAATCAAATGAAAGTTAAGCGATATGGTCATACACTCGCCCGGGCAGTTCTACTCGCTTAAAACGTTTAAGCTGCTCTCACGCCCATCACTTTAGCGCTAATTTTACCGTGGAAGTCTCGGTCCCACCGCATTTTACCGCAAATGATTGCTCTGTTATCACATTGCCACTAAGATTTTGTGTAGAGGTTTTTCAAAGGACTAAGTCGAGTGCGTGTGCAGTCGTAGCCAAGGTGGTATAATCACTTTATATGTATCGACTGTCTTGAGGTAAGTATACTGAGTGATGTGGCTTGCGAACCCATTCTAGATGCCTTGGTTCAGCATGAATAGCATTGAATTGGTGATGTTGTTTGGAAGTAAATCCCGTTTATCTTCGGCTTTCCAGGCTCTGACGGAGGCGACAACGCCGAAGCATTAGCAAAATAAAGTGATTATACCATCTGGCTGCACAAGCACTCGAACTAGTGCACATAATGCCAAGGTGCATCGAGAGTCGAATATGGATGCTAGTGAAGGATGAACTTACCTTTTACATTCGTCTTGCCAAGGAACGGCCTCCGTTGTGGCAGAAGATCGTGGCGAGACAAACCACTTACGTCCCCAAAAGTTGTGATCACCGCCATCTAAGAAATTTTGCTGAGAAGAAAGAACTGCACGAGGTATGCGGCATTGCAGCTGACAACAGAGAAATGCATGTTATTAGGTTACACGTTTTGAGGACTATTCTACAAGAAGGGAGGCTAAATGACTCTAAGATGAAGAGGCGCTCGCCTATTTGTAAGGAAGCAGTAGGTAACCTCATTTAAAAGGGCGCAAGCACTTGATGGGATAGTGAAAAAGCTGGTCCAATCGACACTTTCCATTGAAAGATAGAACCCTCTGTTACGTCCCTGCCCAATTTCGTCGTCATATCTGCGAAAAGTATATTCATCACCGGAGTAAGACAGCCATTGTGGCGTCATATGAGGAGACTCTCCACTCGAACTCATCATAAGCTTTTGTAAACCATCTCTAAGCGATCTCTGAGCGTGATATCGAAAAATAAGTGCCAATATCTACGGAAGGAAGAACGGGCACAAGAAAAGATATAGGTTTCTGCCCACAATGTTCGATTTGCGCACCAAGAAAAGGTAGTTAAAATCAAACGTCGAGTGTGTCCGAAGAATTGGAGACGGTAAAGAAGGTATAGAGTTTTCTTTACAAAAGCTGGAGTTCAGAACGGAAATAATACCTGTAGTAACAATTTCCTTCGCCACCGAAGTCATGCCGCCTTTTTTGGAAAGGTCGTTTCTTTAGGTGATGTAGTATGTGAAACATGAGTGGGTTTGCATGCTGAGCCCAAAATTCACAAGCACTGGATCGGGAATGATGCAAAAAAATGAAGCGGGGGATTTACTCGGACAGAGACGTAATCCTGCTGTTAGTCCTTTTGTTCTTGCATTTCAAACCAGCTGCTGCATTATGCCACATTCCTTCGCACGCGGCGTCCCTCCCGACGCGATGTGACGATTTCGATCCAACTGCACCACACCCAACGGAAGACTGTCGGGGTGTGGCTTCTTCTTCCGAAATCCACTTCGTGCTCACTGCAACCAATCGAGCGCGGCGCGTACTAGCAAGGGGAAGGTTTGAATTTTCAGCGAAATGATACGGTAATTGCCGTGGAAACACTGCCGCTTGCCGTGGGAATCCGGGGAGAAGTACCCAGACTCCTTGTACTTTTGCTCGATCACACTTACTCACACAACTTCCTACCACTCTTGTATCCGGGATTTCTTAACGTGGAAGTGAGATATGCTGTAGTAGCAATAAGATCAAAAGTTCAGTATGGGTTGCAAGTTCCTACAGCAATCTTGTCGTGAAATGAAATGCATAGAATTCACATGCACAACAAGTCCAGTTTTACGACACAACCTTGTTTTAACACACGTTCTACCTAGTCCCGTCAACGGAAGGCGGTCGTTTAGAGCGATCGCATCGCCCATTCGACGCGGTTCGCGAGTTGGACAACTCATCCAAGTGATTGGGCAGCCCCCTGCCTCTTCAGCTGATAGAAGCCCGATCGATGACATGGCTTCTATTAGATCTGCTATTAGATTCAGATCTGCTTGTATTTTGCCAGATTATATCGTCTATTTAGCTTTTTACTCTCGTGCTTGGACGAGTTGTCCAGCTCGCAAACCGTGTATAATGAGAGAAATCACGCCAAACGACGAATACCCCCGTCAACTATGCGCAGCATCGAGAAAAGATCGCAGGCAATCTTACATAAGAGATAATGGTAAGAACTGTAGAACAAGGTGTCGGTTTTTGGATTTTTTTTATATAGCTTCACTTTATCGGCTGTCTATAGAACTAGCTTTAGTATTTTACTGAGGCGCATCTCTCCTGATAAGTACTGGTATATTAGCTCTAGCAGGACAGGAGGTAACATTGGCCACACGCCAGCTGTGTTAAGTCGACAGCGGATGACTGTAAAGCAAGTGGGGGGGGGGGGGGGAGAGGGGGAGTGTTCAGAACGCGCGTCGACGGCTTCATGACGCAAACTGTGAATAGCCGTCGGTCTGTGGATTCCGAGCGCTTCTTCGATCTCACTGTTCCATATTGAGTTACTATCTTTTCTTTTTGAAAGTTATGTAAATTGGATGTTAGGGAGCTATCGTGCGCAATGAATTTTGTAAATTGCTTTATGAATTTTGCAGAGTTATCAACCTCCTTCACGTGAATATCAGCAACGAACAAATTTTGGCAGCTTCAATCCCGCGATCACTCCAGGACCAACACCAATTACATCGGCGTTCCAACGATCACCTGGTTCACCTGGTTCGTTTCATAAGAATTATCCATAACTTATTGTCAGGAGCCACTATTTACTGCGCAGCTTCCTCGTCGTTGACTATGACCGAGCCTGATTTGGTGGTTACTGCGTGCATACTTTTACGACCACCTCGGCTACGACTTTCTTCTAGACGTTAGGAGTGGCCCAAACTTACTTTATATTGTTTACAGCTTCTCCACAAACACAGCAAACGTACGGTCCTGACGAGGACTACGCCGAAGATTTACTGCCACCTCAAATGACAACCACTCCGGTCGTAGAGGTAAGTTTCTCCGAAATTCCGGGTTAGCAGTTCCAAAACAAGATATAGTGGAGTTGAGATGGATCACTGAACTTGGTCCCATGTTAGCAATGCCGCACATCTCGGTAAGCAACTTTCGCCTTGAAATATCGGGGTTGGATTAGTTGCCAAGGACGGGTAAACTGCGTGGTCTTTTCAGTCAGTTCTTATAACAGGATTGAAGTTTTTTGTGTTGCTTGGAACAATTTCAAAGATGGGTTATCAGTCCCGAATGTATCTCCCGGTTGCCGAGATGCCTGTTACGGGAAATTTTCAAAAATGGTCTTTTCCTTGTCAATAGCTTAGCTTAGCAGAATTAGCTTGCATTTAATCTATTTCCCTCACTGACTTTCTACCTCCGTCGAGGGCAAAGTCAGCGGGTCATTGCGACAGTCTCTTTGGCGTTATGTGGGTAAACATCGAGTGTTTCCGTTGCTCTGCCCGTGTTTGAGCTCAGATCGTGCAAACAACGAAAATCGACCACCACATTACCCACTGCCTCTGTTCAACTTGAAACTGATCTGTCGACAGTTGCAGTCCCAATAATCTACTTGCACCCAGAACTGCCATCATTTCAGACTCAGATACCTACACCGACAGCTTTTGATCCACTGTGGCCAACACCGGCACCCGGTCAGTTCTTCGACGGTGATCCGAGGAGCTCAAAGGTTAGCGAAAACCGTGATGATGGTTTACCGATCAATTTAGATTATTGACTGGTATGAAGTTGCCAGCCATTTTTGGAAAGTTTCCTACTTTTCATTGTTCGGCCAGTTACAGTTGTTGATTTCAGAAAGTTGATCCAAGGTTTACCAAATATGGTGAGCAGGCATCTGAGAACAACATACCATGTTCAGCATACACTGATGACATCTGCTATCAACAGGTGTTGTCTATTTCTCATTTGTTCAGTTATTTGTTTATTTAACTGTTTTTTTATCGAAACACCACATCAAGGTGTGCAAACCCTCGCCCACGGTATGGTCCAAAACCCTTCCGCATGTCAGGGGGTACCTATTGGCCTAGGTTAACTGGGAGCATTCATATGAGGGCTGATTTTTTTTTTCGCATAAAGCTCCATGAAAAGCTTGGCTTCCCAAATGATTTCCCCCGATTCAGTGCGATTCTCAAGTTATGTAATCCTATAATTAATGTTCAACATTAAATCCAGAAACTTGAACGTTTCTAAGCTCAGAAGAAAGTTGATAGAAGATTGTGCCACTTCAGCAGGAGAAATTCGGGCGTGAAGGGCTGTCGAAATGCTGCAAAGATGGAATATATCTCACCGACGTATGTATGCCTGGAAAATGTTCCAACAACACAGTCCAGCTGTGCTGTTTCCAAAAATTCCTACAGGTTAGGATTTTTCCCTGCTTGATAAATATGGACGACTTCTATGCTTTGCTTGCATGAAATTCTCTGTAGGGGTAAAGAGCGCCCTCAGCTTTAAAGTCGTTCGTTTTCCCAACATTTCTAAGAAGAGCAGAAATCTTTTGATGAGGTGCATGCTCATAGATGTAGCTACATTCGAAACTCTATCGAAATGTCTCACAAGGTTGGCGATTTGTGGACGAAACTTCAGCCTCGGACGGGACTTGAACCCGTACTTGTCCTTTCCGGGGACCGTGCTCTTATCCCTTACACTACCGAGGCCCCGCTTGCCCTCGCCTTCTTGATGGCTTATATGCCATAGCTTATCAGCACTCACACGTACAACGTGTTGAGCCGGTCGGCCAATATCAGCACAGAACCGTTAAGCTGTAAGCTTTACATGTTAGTACTTGTTTTGACTTGATGTTTTGTTAACTGCAGTTAACAAAACATCAAGTCTATCGAAATGCTCTTTACATTAGTCCATTCTACCTTCATGAGCTTGCGTCGAACACATGGCCTATCCCTTATCCCTTACTTAATTTAGGGAGTGTTCGCAATACCGCTAGCTTCATTTTTTTGAGCAGATTACTGAAGATGGTTTTTCAAAATTATTTAGTGAGTCGACTAGCGATCCATCAAATCACGGGATCAATGTTATGAGTGCGCCGAGCACGTTGCTATAATCTTGACGCATTTTCGTAATGCAGAAATTGACTTTTGTGCATACTATTTTCACTTCCCACCTGGATTTCAATTTTTTCCGGGTTTTAAAAAGCTCTCAAGGTTGTTCATCCATATTCAGGCACGCTACCGTTGCTGCGAAGACGACAATCAATCGCTCGGTCCAGCCAGCACAATGGACTTCAGCATGTGCTGCTATACAAATTTTGTGACCGATGTAGGAGTTAGACAGGTCTTCTTACTTCGGTTTCTTTTTGATGCAGTACACAGTTTCAGGATCCTTGTTGTAATACTGAGACATCAACACAGTACTGGCTTTCAGTACATGAGGTGTGCTATCCGAACACAAAGGTTGATTACTCAAATATAAACATGGAGGTTGGTATTGCACCATTTCCGATTTCCTCTTCCGATCTTGCATTTCTTCGAGACGAATGAGCAGGGTTTAATAGATAGGCTTGAAGTTTCCAAACATAAAAAAATTTTCGCTAAAGTTCCAGTTCCCAAGCTAACCTGTTGTCGAAATATGGATATTCCAGTAGTCGAAGCATGGGTATCCCAGTACCTTCCGAAACCACACCCCACTTTTTCGTAATTTTCCCTCAACCTTTTTTCCTTCACTGAATTTTCCTTAAAACTTCTGCATTGAATTCTGGTGCTCAACTTGCTACCTCTGGAACTTTTTTGGTAATTCATATTTTATGAAAGCGGTCAGCTTTTCCTCATAGTTTGGGGACCTAGTGCGTATTGACTGTGTGATACAGTATCCTAGAATAAATAGATTGAATAAGTTAATTAAGCAATAAGTAATTATGCCAAACTGAGTTCAGGTACGATTTGCTGAAGGTGTACGTGTGGTGAATCTGAACGAGAATCGAGTCTGGGATTATGAATGTCGTAACGGCGGTAACCGAACACAGTACGCCTACCTACCGTAACCTACTGGTTCTACTTCTGGCGCATGTGCCTAGCAGGGTAGGGCTCATAGTGTCGATACAAGAAGTTTTGTGAATTTTGTTTTTTATATCTCTTGAATTCTTCTTGTGCTGTACGTTTCACCTTTTTTCTCATTCATTCTGGCCTGTTTATTAATAGTAGGGTAAGTGATGCTTGTCGCAGCCAATTCATTTAGTTTCTTAATAATTTGTAACAGTACAAAGGTTGGCCAGTGATGGTTGGTGTGGTCCATAGGGTTCGAAGTTTCCATTGCTTCATAAGGGAGGCATTGCTACCAGCTTTGCCAACCAGCTGCCCTTAGTGGGAAATAGCAACAGCTGCAATATAGGAAGGATCCAGGTGGCTGATAGTTTCGAGATACCGTAGCATGAAACTGTGTTCTCCCTTCGAAATTCACAATCTTGGTTCCTACTACGGGAAGTTTTCTCAAAAATGGAATCGAACTTCTCCAATTTTTCAACGAACACAGCTGTTCGAAGATAGAACTAAGGTTCTCTCGAATATCTGCAACGGTTTCAAACTTCAAAGACATTAAGAGTCCTCCTCAGGATTGTATTGATGCGTCCTTCTTTGTTCGCCTGTCTCTTCCGAGTTACTGGTTGATATGTTAAAAATGTTTTGTGGTGAATTTACGACTTTTTGTGTTTTTTTTGGTGAATTAAGAGCTCAATCATTACAAATAACCACAACACACTCTCTAGTCATTAGGCTTCCTTTTCTCCAGGCTCCCGACTTTTCTGTTTTCTTTGTTCTTTCTTGGTAAAGGCCAGGAAGTTGATGGAAAGGGTTGGTTCACCCCTAAAAGGTTTTTGGCTATAGATATTCTGACCAGGATTAGGTGTTTCCCAAGAGTCTCCCTGGTCTCAATAAGCCAGTTCCCATCTCTGACGAATTGCTGTGGACGAGTTATAGAATACTAGTTTCACGAGAGCTCAGAAGCAGAAAGGTGGGTTCAGCCTGAAACAATTGAAAAACGCGCTTCGTGACTAGCTCCTTTACGGTGTGAGTAACAAGTGCTTCATTGGGAGTCTGTAGGGTAATTTGCTTTCTTACCAGTTAATGATGTATTTGTATAGTTTACATAGTTTATTTGCCTTGAATCTCGTTTCTGTTGAAATTGTAGATCCATAGCTCATCCTGCGACCGATTGCTCAATGTGTATAGCTGAATTTATGGTGCTACCATTTGCATACTCTTTTGACCTAATGCTTTATTATTCACCTGTTACCATGTACTTTGTTATTTGTTACTGTGGTATTTATGCATGATTAGATATTCTATTATATCATATATTATATTATATTCAACTGCTCTTTTAAATAACACATTTTTCTAGAGAAAATGAAGTTTTGTTCTGGGGTTTTTTTCTATAGAGCTCAGTTATTGTATTACACAATTGAAATAAGTGCCTTTCACGATTGAAGCAAGTGGTGTGCCTGTAGAAGACAGGTGAGAAACACCTCAAAGCAAAATAGAACCGCCGACTATTTTTACCCCTGAATAGTATGCAGTAGAAGTCGGTTTTTTTGTAAGTTTGCCTGTATTTTCGAACACGTTCTCACCGGAAGAGATTTTAGCCCCTCATCTGACAATTGACCACGCCTTTGCATAAGAAAAAAGCCTTTTTACACGTGAAAAGGCTATTTACGTGCATAAAACTCAGAGGCTGATTATTTAGAGACCGCTTTGGACAAATAGAACATTTGTAGTATGGAGGGTAATTGCTTGGGGTGAGATGCTTCCACTTTCTTTATGATAGTGATACTTCGAGATATAAACAGATACCCAACGATGTAAGCTTCCAAAATCGGCGGTTTTTTCAATTTTCGCAAGTAACACGACTCTTCTTCATATTGTATCTTACTATACCAGCTCTTTAGATGCCGTTATACTTTACTAAATACTAGATTGTTGAGAGTCTTGTATACTGATAGCATCTAAACAGTTGTACAAGCCTGAACAACTTGGATTAGGATACTTGTTAGAGAGATGGAATGTGGTAGATCAAGGTATTTTCCGATTACGGTATTCGATCTGCTTCGGGCATATGAGGTGGTCGCCACCATTTATTGATTTTCATCCCATCTTGTTCGATGGCCGGTCGCCTGCGGGCACTTTTCCTCTCTTATATTTTACTTTTACTTATTTCCTCTCAATCCTGCTTTTGTTCTATCGTATTTGCAAGAAATGACGTATTCAACTGTATACGTGCCAGTTGAAGACTGATGGTCTTTCAAAGCTATGAGGTGTTTGCCCTTTTTCACGCCTTTTGTGAACATTCCGCATTTACAAGTCATTTGATTTTACTAGTTGTAATTTTAACGAAATTGAGGAACTTTTTGAATTCATTTCAATGATTGCTGATCACCTGAGGACCTCTTTGGACCACCTGAATCACCATCAGATTTGGCATCTGACACGTTTTAAGTAAAGAAAAGAAAAGAACCTTGGTGTTTTCTCAGAACAACCTACAACTACCATGACAGGATGATAAGGTGAGTTACCTGAAAGTTGTTTCCAAACAAAGTTATTTTCCACCCGAATGATCATTTACCATGATTCCAATGGTTACGTTGAGTGTGGGCCAGTCAAGTGTAGATAATAAGTTGAATCGTTCGAGGGATTCCTATATGAGCAGAATGCCATATTTCAAGCAACAATTCTAATTTTTTATTTTAATCCGATTGTTGATTCAATTAATTGATTAACTTTTGATTTCAAAATCTCAGTTTTTTCTTCAAAAGTCTCACCTACTACAGGAGCTCTTGCTCAGGTTGGCTATATAAAACTCTGCACTCATATATATCTGTAATTTTGAGAGCCTGGGGGTGCCCGATACAACTCTGAGGCAGAATTTTGATTCTGCAAAAAATCCCGTTTTTTGATACAGATCAGAAATGTGGCGAAGTGTGAGGCCTATTCGATTAGTGGTTGTGGTAACATGAGCTTTTGGGGAACTAATTCAGTTCATAGGTTTCCGATAGTTAAAGGAACTGCTGCATCTCGTGACTGGCTCGTTATAATCGCGATTTCATTTATTACATTCAGAGATGTAATAATATACAGTAGCGCTCAAAAGTCTTCGGTGAAATGCTTTGACGCTCTTTCGTTCATAACTTTTCTGTTAGTAGACCAAATCGCGCAAAATTTGAATATGTTTAACTAGAGCATATTTCACCCTACCCATCACAATTCGACTGCGAAGCTGCAATATCCACAGATAGAGCAAGGTGTTTGTTGCGGTAGCAGGTTTTGCTAAAACTAAAGTTGTTGACGTCTGCACTTATCTATTGTGTTCGGCATTACCGCTCGTACACTTCTGACATGACAAAAAGGAAAGAGATTCTAGAAGGACCATCATCTGTATTTTCAGTTGATTTTGAGTTCATGCCCTTTGGAATATCTGGAACATGATCAGATTGCAGGCTGATAGTGGTAAATATTCACAATACCCCCGCGCTCCAAATATAGAAATTTCGTATGATTAGATCCAATAGGAAAGGAGTTACGATTAAAAAGTACGGCTGAAGAACCATTTCACCGAAGACTTTTGAGCGCTACTGTATATGATTATTCTGACAACATGTAACATCTCGGTATATCCTTAATAAAGGAAATAGAAATTACTGTATTTTTCTTACACCGCCGTTCTCCACTCACCAAAAACTGTACTGTTCAGTCGACTTGACAACCAACCACAATCGATCTGATCGACTACAGAAACTTCAACAAAGTAGGTGTTAAACTTATTCATAGCAAGGATAAGGTCTTTGTCGCCAATCAATCTCGTATTCGGGACCCAGCCCGCATTTGAATTCCATTTAAAATCCTGTCGACTTATTCAATGAGAGCTACACAGTGAATTGCGTTAGCCAGCCGGTGTACAAGTCAGGGCTTCCATCTGCCAAGACGTTTGGTACCAATGAAGCAACTTCGTAGCATTGGGAGACTTGGCTTACCTGGGCGGATAACTATCCGAGACTCTATGTAGTTCTGGATCATGCATGCGTGCTGAGGCGTCAAAAAATGGGGTAGGGCTGTGGGTTGATCGTATATATTCAGATGCAAAAATAGCAAAAACACAATGACTCATCTCGATCCCTCGTTTAATGAAATGTCCTACGCATAACAACCTTATTGCAGAGTAGAGTCAGTGCTTGCTCAGCAAAAGGCGAAGGTTGCGGAAATCTCTTTTTGACCCGTACTTTTTCCAGCTTATAGTCTCTGTTGCACTTATGTCTCGTATCTAAGAATCAATAAGCAATGAGCTATTTATGATTTATTCCGTATTTCTGTTAATAAACGATCATCAACGATCATTTTCTGCTAAAACTCAAAAGCGTTCCAAAATAAAAGCAAAATTATCGGGCGATGATCAACTGCTTCAGAAGGCGATTCTTAGATTCCATTCCAGAACAGAGTTGTGAACTGAACTGAACCAGAACTTAGGAGGATGACTGAGTGGCGGATTTAGGGAAAATGGATGGGCAGGGTAACACCCTGACCATTTGTAGTTCAACCACCTCTAATTTTTCCAGAACAAAGTTCATCTTTCAACTATAATTATAAAGTATTCAAAGAAACATCTCTCAATCGCCATCGAAAGATATGTTAAGACCCATTCTGCAAACCTAGAGAAGGTCAGAAAAGGAGTGCCAATCTCCTCACTGCACAGCGACTCTTTGATAGTTGCCCATCGCGTTGCAAATCTTTGATACGCCGTCTTAGCTAGTTGTCTCTGTATGCCATTTCAAAAAAATGATCGCTTCCTACTTGTGAGTGGTTCCTCCCATTTTTTGACAGTTGGACACTTGTCAATAAGCTGAATATGTCTAAAATCAATCGTGAATTAGTGTTACGAACTAACATAAATCGATTGATTGGAAAAAAGAGGAATCACAGACCGATTTGTTTGTCATAGCTCGATCTGCTTTTTTGAATCAACCGACCAATGTTTGAATTCAATTTTTACATAGAAAAT